CTGGCTGGGTGCCACCCAGCCTCGGCTGTGCCCGGCCTTCCCTCCGAGAGCCAGAGCAGGGACACTGAGCTGAGGCTGCTCCGTGCCCCGGGTGGCTCAGGGACCCCAGAGACAGCACCCTGCAGGCACAGCAGCCCCAGCCCTGAGTGCAGCTGGCACAAAGCACAGTGCTGCACTGACAGCCCAGGGACAGCACCCTGCAGGCACAGCAGCCCCAGCCCTGAGTGCAGCTGGCATGGAGCACAGTGCTGCACTGACAGCCCAGGGACAGCGCCCTGCAGGCACAGCAGCCCCAGCCCTGAGTGCAGCTGGCATGGAGCACAGTGCTGCACTGACAGCCCAGGGACAGCGCCCTGCAGGCACAGCAGCCCCAGCCCTGAGTGCAGCTGGCATGGAGCACAGTGCTGCACTGACAGCCCAGGGACAGCACCCTGCAGGCACAGCAGCCCCAGCCCTGAGTGCAGCTGGCATGGAGCACAGTGCTGCACTGACAGCCCAGGGACAGCACCCTGCAGGCACAGCAGCCCCAGCCCTGAGTGCAGCTGGCACTAAGCACAGTGCTGCACTGACAGCCCAGGGACAGCGCCCTGCAGGCACAGCAGCCCCAGCCCTGAGTGCAGCTGGCATGGAGCACAGTGCTGCACTGACAGCCCAGGGACAGCACCCTGCAGGCACAGCAGCCCCAGCCCTGAGTGCAGCTGGCACTAAGCACAGTGCTGCACTGACACCCTCACATCCTGCACTGCACTCCTGGTTCCTCCTGTGCTCTCCTCCCAGCAGGTGGCAAATACATTTGGGATTTCAAAAAGAAAGCACAAGTGCCCAGCCCAGAACTCCCCAGAAACCTGAAGAGACAACACCCAGAGCACTGCTTTCACTTCAACAAGGGCATGGAGAAGACACCACTATATCCTGGGGTGAAGGTCTTGCCAGAAAGGAAAAATCTCTCTCCCTTATCTTCAGCAGCTCCAGCTCCTGGGATAACAGCTCATGTTTTCCCAGGAGCTCCCCAAGCCAAGGAACTTCGGCACAACGTCCAAGAGTCCACGTGGTCTACCCTGCAAGTTTTCTAATAAGTGCTTTTTAAAGCATTTCTGCTCTCCATCATTAGGCAGCCACGGCTTAGCAGCCCGGGGTAGTGATGGGTGTCCCTGCCCACGGCAGGGGTGGAACGCGATGGCTTTGAAGTGTCTGCCAGCCCAAACCATTCTGTGACTCCAGATTTTGAGAAAAACCCTCATGTGTAACATTAAGTTCCACATTAAGTATCAAAGAGTATCAGTGTGCCTTTCCCAGTGCAACAGGCAGAGATGTGAATCACTCAGAGGCTGCTGCACTTCCGAGGGTGCCTCGTGCAGGTTCTAAAACCGAGCGGTACGAGGAGGGGGTGACACAAACCGCAGCCCCAACACCAGAGAAAACACTTTAAAGGCTCTTTACAGCTCTAAAATGTGACCTGACAGTGACAGAGGTAACTGGTGATGGGATGAGAGGAAATGGCTCCAAATTGCACCAGGAGAGGTTCATGTTGGAAATTGGGGAATTTCTCCATGGCAAGGCTGTCCAGCCCTGGCACAGCTGCCCAGTCCACATCCCTGGGGAGGATTTTTTTTTAATCCCTGCAGGGATTTAAAGCGCTGTGCATGTAGCACTTGGGGACACCGGGTGGCCTTGGCTGCACGGGAGCATGGCTGAACTTAATGATCAGCCTTAACAATTCCATGGGTTCTGTCATCATTAGAAATGCAGTAATTAATGATCTAAACTTATTCTGATGTTTAACAGATGTTTTCTCTCTCCAGCTGATTCAGAAGACATATTCCATCTTAAAAAAACGGCTGTCCAAATCCATCTGTCTTCAGACGAGGAGGGAAAAAAGGATGAGGGAGAAGCTGTAGGGATGGGCACACAAGGGCTGAGCTGGTGAAAACTCACAAGGATCGGCACACGTGGCTCCAAACTGAAACCAAGTCTGTCTGACAGCTCTTCCAGCCAAACACCTTCCAGTCTGATCCCGAAATCTGACAGCAATCCACGGCTTAAACCAGCCAATGCAACAGGCCACAAAAGTCCAGGGGTGGGACACACCAGGGAAACTTAATTCCGGGGTTTCCACCTTAATCTTAATTCCCCCACCTTAATTCCGGGGGTTTTCACGTTAATTCCAAAGCGTTTGACGTCACACAGGCTAAACAACTGAATCAGAGTATCAGACAGCTACACACACACCGACATTAAATAATTGATGCCAACATGTATTACTCAGCCTGGTACAAAAGACTGCTGTACACAAAACTGCCGCTCATAAACGTGAATGAACGAACGGGAAACAAACAGGGACACTGCAGAGGAGCAGGAGTGCGGAGCCTTATCTGAGCTCTGCCCAGAACGCTCCATTCACAGCCCTGATAAGGCGCTGCTGGATCCACCCGGGGCAGGGCTGGCGCTGCCCGGGCCCAGCGCGCTGGGCCGGGATTGCGTTTGAATCACGGAATCATTCACTGGAAAAGCCCTTCAAGGCCAGCGGGTCCCAGCTGTGCCCGATCCCCACCTCGCCACCAGCCCAGAGCTCTGAGTGCCACGTCCAGGAATTCCTCGGACACCTCCAGGGATGGGCACTGCAAACCTCGCTGGGCAGCCCCTGCCAAGGCCCGAGCCCCTTTTCCATGGGGAAATTCCTGCTGGTGTGCACCCAGAGCCCCCCCGGCCCAGCCCGAGGCCGTTCCCTCTCCGCCAGGGCCTCTGGGGCCCAGGCTGGGCAATAACGTCACAGCCCGCGCGGCGCGGAGCGGCTCCGCCAGGCCCGTTACCCGCCCAGCGGCCGTTCAACGCAGAGAACGGGGATACAAGGACACAGCACGGATACCGGGATGCACCCCCACGGCTCAGTTCCCCTCTCGAGCAAACCCGAGGCCTGGCAGCGGCCGCGGGGCCCACACGGCGCTCGGAGCGCCCCGCGCGCGGCCCGGCCCGGCCTCCGCCCGCCTCGGCCTCCCGCCCCGGCTGTCCCTCGGCCCGGGCGCTCCCGGCCGCTGTGGGAGCTGCCCGCTCTCCTCCCCTTGGCCCCGTGCCGCCGCAGCCCCCTCGCCCCTCCCCGGTACCTGCCGGGGCCGCCACAGCCGCCGCCGCCACAGCCGCCGCCGCCTCGCCCGGGCCTCACGCACCGCGCACGCGCACTGCGCCCCGCGCGCGCGCACCGCCCGCGTGCCCGCCTGCCCCCGCGCGTGCGCAACGGCCACCCCCAGCGCCCGCCCCTTCCCGCCAAATGGCGCCGGGCCCTGCGGGAGAGGGCTGCGAGACAGAGCCCGGGACGGGAATGAAATAAATATAGCCCGGCACAGGAATATATACAGCCCGGTAAAGAAATAGAATAAATACAGCCCCCTATGGAAACACATCCTGGAATCATTAGGGTGGGAAGACAGCTCCAAGATCACCCAGTCCCGCTGTCCACGCAGCAGTGTCACTGTAGCCCTTAAGCCACTAAGCCATGTCTCCCACACCGCCTCCAGGAATTCCTGGGACACCTGCAGGGATGGGCACTGCAACCCTCCCTGGGCAGTGCCAAGGCCTGAGCCCCCTTTCCATGGGGAAATTCCTGCTGGGCCCACCCTGAGCTGCCCTGGCCCAGCCTGAGGCCGTTCCCTCTGCTCCTGTCCCTGTTCCCTGGAGCAGAGCCCGACCCCCCCGGCTGTGCCCTCCTGGCAGGAGCTGTGCAGAGCCACAAGGGCCCCTGAGCCTCCTTTGCTCCAGGCTGAGCCCCTGCCCAGCTCCTCAGGGATTCTGCAGCCCCTGCCCAGCTCCCTCAGGGATTCTGCAGCCCCTGCCCAGCTCCTCAGGGATTCTGCAGCCCCTGCCCAGCTCCTCAGGGATTCTGCAGCCCCTGCCCAGCTCCTCAGGGATTCTGCAGCCCCTGCCCAGCTCCTCAGGGATTCTGCAGCCCCTGCCCAGCTCCCTCAGGGATTCTGCAGCCCCTGCCCAGCTCCTCAGGGATTCTGCAGCCCCTGCCCAGCTCCTCAGGGATTCTGCAGCCCCTTCCAGCTCCCTCAGGGATTCTGCAGCCCCTGCCCAGCTCCTCAGGGATTCTGCAGCCCCTTCCCAGCTCCCTCAGGGATTCTGCAGCCCCTTCCAGCTCCCTCAGGGATTCTGCAGCCCCTGCGCAGCTCCTCAGGGATTCTGCAGCCCCTGCCCAGCTCCTCAGGGATTCTGCAGCCCCTTCCCAGCTCCCTCAGGGATTCTGCAGCCCCTGCCCAGCTCCATTCCCCTCCCTGAAAGTGCTTCAGCCCCTCCATGTCCCTTTTAAAGTGAGGGGCCCAGAGCCAATCCCAGGATTGGAGGTGCCTCAGCAGTGCCAACACAAGGGACAGCCACTGTCCTGGCCCCGCTGCCACACTATTCCTGGTCCAGGCCAGGTGCCTTTGGCCTCTTGCCCACCTTGGCATGCCTGGGCTCGTGTTCAGCCACTGTCACCGAGTTTCTTTGAGCAGAGCAGCTCTTGAGCCCGTCCTCCCCAGCCTTTTGCAGAAATACATCCCTGTACAGAAATAAATCCCTTTATTTATATATCCCATTGTGTCCTATGTCCAATGTGTCCAGAGCCCGCAGCTGAAGAAGGGTCAGGGTTCATTCTCCCCGCTGCCCAGCCCTGAGACAACAAATACTGCACCACTGCCTGTGGGGGTACAAAAATACATGTTTTTCACAAACAGCACTGCATCCCTGTGTCCAGGACTCTCTTCCACTTCTTCATGTACAGCGCAGTGCCGATGTGACCGTGTGGTTCTTCACAGGCAATCCAGGGACAGGTCCTGGACTGGAGCCTCTGGAGGGAAGCACAGATGGGCTGGAGCAGCTCCTTCACGGCCATGCTGGTGACAATGAGGGAAGCCAGCCCCACAGTGCCCAGCACAGCTCTCCCAGCATGGCCCATTTCGGCCCCGCACACTGTCCCAGCTCAGGCTTGCAGGCCGGCCCAGTTCAGACCCTCAGGATGGCCCAGCACAGCCCAGTTGAGCTCCCCAGGCTCTCCCAGCCTGGCTCCGGTGTCTCTCCCGGTGCAGTCCAGCCTAGCCCGGCTCCGGGGCTCTCCCTCAGGCACCGTGCCCAGCTCAGGGCTGCTCCCGCCCGTGTCCCGGCAGCACCGTCCGTCCGTGTGCCCGGCTCAGGCGGCGCTGGAGCTTCACCTGGGGACGGCCATTTCACCATTTTACGTTCCCGTCTCCAAAAGCTCCTCCAGGTTCTTCCTGATGTGCGGGGGCTGGGCGGCGGCGTGGGCGAGCAGCCCGGGGCCCATCTGTGCCCACAGCGCCTGGGCCAAGGCGGCCGTGGCCGTGCGGGGGCCGGGCACGGAGCCGCCGCCCGCAGAGCTGCCCAGCAGGTGCCACAGCACGGGCAGCACCTTCTGCTCCACGGCACAGGGCTTCCGAGGGTACAGCTCCGGCACCAGCTCTGCAATAAAATATTACATTGAAATTAGAATTTCGATGGGATCCCCAGCTTTGAGAGGGTACAGCTCCGGCACCAACTCTGCCAGGAGAAAACACAAATTTCAGTTACACTTGTAATGGCATCCCCAGTTCTGACAGGGTACAGCTCTGGCACCAACTCTGCCAGGAGAAAACACTCATTTCAGTTACACTTGTAATGGCATCCCCAGTTCTGACAGGGTACAGCTCCGCCACCAACTCTGCCAGGAGAAAACACAAATTTCAGTTACACTTGTAATGGCATCCCCAGTTCTGACGGGGTACAGCTCTGGCGCCAGCTCTGCCAGGAGAAAACACTCATTTCAGTTACACTTGTAATGGCATCCCCAGTTCTGACAGGGTACAGCTCTGGCGCCAGCTCTGCCAGGAGAAAACACTCATTTCAGTTACACTTGTAATGGCATCCCCAGCTAAGAGAGGGGTACAGCTCTGGCGCCAGCTCTGCTGGGAGAAAACACTCGTTTCAGTGACACTTGTAATGGGATCCCACCTTTGAGAGGGGTACAGCTCCGGCACCCTGCAACTCTGCAAAAAAACCATTCATTTAAATTACAATTTTGACGGAATCCCCAGCTTTGAGAGGGGTTCAGCTCCGGCACCAGCTCTGCCAGGAGAAAACACTCATTTCACTTACAATGGGATCCCACCTTTGAGAGGGGTACAGCTCTGGCATTCACTCTGCAATAAAATATTCATTTAAATTACAATTTTGATGGGATCCTGCCTTTGAAAGGGGTGCAGCTTCGGTACCAGCTCTGCTGCGAGAAAACGCTCATTTCAGTTAAAATTGCAATGGGATCCCCACATGTGAGAGGGGTACAGCACCAGCACCTGCTCTGCCAGGAGAAAATACTAATTTAAATTACAATTGTGATGGGATCCCTGCCTTTGAGGGAGGGATCAAAGGAGCTCTGGCACCAGCTCTGCCACGATAAAAGTATTACTTTAAATTATAATTTCAATGGGATCCCCAGCTTTGAGGGGCGTACAGCTCCAGTACTCGCTTTCCAATAAAATATTCATTTAAATTACAATTTCTAAGGGATCCCTGCCTTTGAGAGGGGTTTAAAAGCACTTAAATCATCTCCTCAAACTGCTGCTGTACACAAGTTTGCAGCTGCAACATCATCAGCTCCCATGAAAAATACGAGATTTTCCCACAACCACTCCTTTTATCCCTCCCAGGAGTTTACACAGTAGCAGCAGTGCTGCTGATAATTACACTTTTCCATTAAGCTAAAAAACTCAAAGAAATAAAGGAGATTTTAGGTTGGGTTTTTTTCAGTTAAGATTCTCATAAGGACCTTTATTTTTCACAGTATAAGGTCTGGTATTTCCAATTTCCCCTCTATCTCACAAATAAGCAGTAGATATTTAAGAAAAAAGCAGCCTTATACTGTAAATATAGAATCATAGAATGATGGAATATCCTGAGCTGGAAGGGACCCACAAGGATCAGGAGTCCAGCTTTGGGTCCTGCACACATACATATAAAATATGCATAAAATAAATATGTATGTTTATAGGATGAAATATTTTCCTCACGAATGAATTCAGTGTTTCATTAGCAAATGTTTCTCTTTCTGACAGAACAGCCTCTTCTGATATATAATATAAAAATCCCAGCAAGAGAGGGACTGCTTAAAGGCTGTTTAACACCCTCAAATTTAGGGATATTTCCAGAACAGCCTGTCCATTGTGTTATTGAGTTCCATTTCACACAGAACTGCTCTGAAAATGAGCCAAGGAAATGTTTGGTTCAAGCGTATTTCCCCTAAAGACATTCCTTGTTCATTTCAAGCATGGAAATTCAGCTTTTCTCGAGGAATTGCTGGCTGGGCTGGAATTGCCAGAGCAGCTGTGGCTGCTTCCCTGGCAGTGCCCAAGGCCAGGCTGGACATTGGGGCACCCTGGGACAGTGGGAGGTGTCCCTGCCATGGCAGGGGTGGCTCTGGGTGGGATTTGGGGTCCCTTCCAACCCAAACCAGCCTGGATTCCTGGCAAGAGCATGAGGGAATGAGCACTGGGAGAGGGAATACAGTGCCATGTTGAAATTATTATATGCTTAAGGTATTTATAAATGTTAATCCTTAAGGTATTTAAATAGATGAGGTATTTATATTTAAATTAAATCCTTAATATATTTATAAATATTTATAAATTCCAGGTAGTTATAGATCTTCCATCTGACTATATAACACTAATGCTAATCCTTTGTTTTGTCAGCAATAGCTCCAATTTCCATTAAAGAGCTGAAATGTGACAACTGCTGCACAACCTCCTGAGACAGAAGGGAAGGTACAGACCCACCTCCACCTTGCAATTAATTTCTCTAATTAAGAGAACCCAACCAACCAAAGAAGCAAAGGACAGCAGCACTTTACCAGCCAGCTTTTCTGTCAGGTCCTGCTTTGCTTTTCCACTCAGGAACTGGGCTTTTGTGCAGAACGGCTGCAGGAGCAGGGAGGTGTCTAAAGGCAAAGGGCAAAACACATAAATTCCTAAATGGAAATTAAATTATCTGGAAATAAACACAATATAGGAAAAGGTAAATAAGAAAACGCTATGGAAAAATAGCCAAAGCACTACTGAGCAGTATCAAGGTGATTTGTGTGGTGAGAATAAACCCAATGATTTTTACAGTGCAGCAACTCTGACTCTGTGCAAGTCTTGGAAAGAGTAAAACTTTCAATTTACAACTTAATCACCACAATTAAAACTGTTTCAAATTAAGAGAAAATAAATTGCTCACCTAAGTGTTGACATAGAGCCTGGATCACATTTGTGGCAGCTGCATAAATCCCTGGGTTTTTGGAGTTGAGGTTGTTGTCCACTATGGCAGGAATCAACATGTTGATCACAGGTGACAAATTGTCTTTGAGCAGTGGAATCATCCTGTGCATGGCCTCCAAAGCCACCTGGGTCACTTTGCTGTTGGAGTCGTGCAAGCGAGGCTTGAAGGCATCAAAGATCTGGAAAAGCATCCAAGCAGCAGCCATGGAACTGGGAATCAATAAAGCTCATTACCTGCTTTAGTGCTGCCCTTTAATTGGACACCTTGATGATGGCTCTGCTATCGCCAGGGGCTGGAAACAGATGTTCTGTGAGGTCCCTTCTGACCCAAACCACTCTAGATTCTGGAATTCTGGGATATGCAAACACCTGGGATGACTTTTGAGCAAGTGAACCCAGATTTGCTATTTTAACCCCATGCATTAATCTGATCTGAAGCCCTGCAGTGCAGTGACTCCAGGCACAGTAACTCTCACTGTGACCCAGAGTTCCTGCCAGCCAGTATTTTTAGGGAGACATGGCTCTGTTCAGCACAAGGAATGTCTGAAAGTTTCCAACCCATCCACAGATTGGACACCAGGAGGTTCCAGAGCACAATTCCATCATTCCACACAAAGATATGGCACTGCTGGAGGACAAGCTTGGTTTCCTTTCATTGTATTTGTCTTTAATTTATAGCTGCTGGATGTTTCTTTCTCCTACAGAACCTCCTTTCCTATTGGACAGGACCCTCATCCCGAGCTTTAGCACAGTAAATTTGGCATAACACTTTCCTCACCTTCTCCCACACACAAACTTGTAACACTACTTAGAGACAGTTTTACATTAATCCTTTCTTCTTTTTTCACAGCTATTCCATATTTGATATTTACCCAAGAGTGGCGTGAAAAACAGCACAAAGATTCCAGAAATCATGGAATCACAGACTGGTTTCCATGGGAAGAGATGTTAAAGCCCATCCCATCCCACCCCCTGCCATCCTCAGGGGCACGTTCCACCATCCCAGGCTGCTCCAAGCCTCATCCAACCTGGCCTCGGACACTTCCAGGGATGGGTCAGACACAACTTTTCAGGGCAGTGGTTCAAAAGTGCCCTGAGTGAAAAATTCCACATTTTTCCTCCTGTTCCCTTCCTGTCCTCCCTTAGTGCCTCACATAGACCCCCCTGCTCCTCAGTGCTCTCTGTCCATCATCCTTATTCCAAGAAGGATCCAAGACTCTCCCATAAAACTTGGTGACCCTGATGCCTTGTGCAGGCTGCCCCAGAGCAGAGGCTGGATGGAGTTCCAGAATAAAGCAGGGATTTATTCAAAGCATCTCCTCCATGGATCCACCTTGGGCAGCACCAGAGCCCAGCCAGGGCTGCACCCAAGATCAACCAAAATGGCCCCAAAATGCACGGCCGGGCACGGGCTCTGTCCCTGGGATCAGTTCTGCTCCATTTGCACCTTGCAGTTCATTGTCCCATTCCAGCTTTAGCCCAGGCAGTCCCACCCTGCTTGTTTTTCTCTCTCCAGCCCACGGTGTTTGTGCTCTGGGGCTGAGATTTGGATCATTTGTCCTTGGTGCCCAGCTGGAGCAGGAATTGTTTTGTCTCCCTGCTCTGTGCACAGAGCTCACCATGCCCTGATATGGAGCCCAGACCCTCACACTAAAGCAGCACAGAATGTGAAAAATACAAAAGCTAAACGTGAGGCATCTGCCCAGCTCTGAGCCCTCTGAATCCCAGTGTTACCTGTTGTAGTGAGCTTTTTAGCTTTATTAACATGCTTGCTGTTTAATTTGTAATTTTGTAATTTCTCTATGCTGTCCTTTTCTCTGCCTTTAGAGTGGCACAGATGGCCCGTTTTGTATTTTATGTTTTTAAAACTAGACTTGTTCCTTTATTGTTATTTAGTTTAGTTAAGTGTTAGTTTTTTGTTTGTTACCTAGCTATTTTCTGCCAAGTTTTAAACCCCTTCTACCCATACCCCTTCCCCAGAACTTTCTTTACTCCTCCTTCCATGAAATACCAATCTCTCCCTGAACCTTCCCTTTCACCTAGAAACTTCCTAGTCAGTTTTGTATTCTTTCAAACCCCATTAGTTCACTGAAGCTGTTCTCCTTCCTTGAAATCTTTCATTGTTTTACACACCTTATATTCGTCACCTTGTGTTCCACCCCCAGGTCTCTGTAGGGGGATATAGCATGGGTAAATGAAGGTGGTATAGAATGTAATCTTATCCCCAAAAGAGCTGCAGCTGAGTTAATTATTAAAGATTAGGAGCAGGCCTGATGTTAACAGGTCATGGCTGTAGCCAATAAGAAGAGTGTTATAAAAGAGTGGGTTGGTTGGCTGAGGGGGAACTGGAGTCAGTTGGCTACTGTGAGGATAAGGAACAGTCAGTGCCTAGAGGAGCTGCCTGCAAGAACTATTGAGGAGGTATGAAACTCTAGCAATGTGGAACCCTTGCAATGTACTGACAATAGAACTCTGGCACGATAACGACGACAGTTCTCCTGATTAGTTGAACATTGTATCCTCCCCTGAGACTTCCCCCAGTTTATAATCCATTGTTTGCCCCCAGTTTGGGGTCCTGGGACCTTGGGGAGGGGGAGTTCTGCTATTTAATAAAGTTATCCTGAGTTCTACCCCAGGCCCGGGCTGTGGCCCTTCTGTTGCACTGGTAGCTGGGATTCTGAGAGGGGACTGCCACCCCCTGAGCCTCCACCCAGGACAGTGCCGCTTACCCTGACCATGTTGGCGAGCACCAGGCCCGGGCTGCTCTCCGTGTCCAGCAGCAGCTGGCGCACCCCGCGGATGCGCTCGCGGAAATCTCTGGCGTTCAGCGAGCCCACGAGGTCCCTGAGGAACTCCTCGCTCTCCAGGGCGCTGCGAGGGGCTGCTCTCCGAGGGGCCTCCTGGCTCTCCGTGCAGTCCCTGTGCCAAAGGGAAATGCTGCTCCATGAGTCTGAACAGGAGGCTCATCCCATACCTTCTCTTCCCATCTAAGTGCAAGCAGCAGAAGTAAACACAAAGTTTCACCTTAAATGTGGTGAATTAAAAAGAAATCACCTGTCGCAGACATCTTTTTATGGAAAATCCTTTCCTTAAGATTTTTTCTTCCTGAGAAGCCTCAGGAACAAAATGTAAACAATGATTATCTGCTGCTGTGGAATGCAACAGGTGCATCTGGGATTGGTCTCATGTGGATGTTTGTAATTAATGGCCAATCACAGTCAGCTGGCTCAGACTCTCTGTCTGAGCCACAAACCTTTGTTATCATTCTTTTCTATTCTTAGCTTAGCTGATCTTCTGAAAACCTTTTCTTCTAGTCTTTTAGTATAGTTTTAGTGTAGTATATATCATAAAATAATAAATCAGCCCTCTGAAATATAGAGTCAGATCTCCATCTCTTCCTTCAACATAAGACCCCTGTGAACATCATCACAATCACCCAATAGTAATTGTTGTTCCCAAAGTCTCATATCCACTCTGCTCTAAATGCAGCTGGTTTTGTGACTGGGAACAATTAGGAACTTCCCTTACATCAATGGGTCACAACCCCCCCAAACTTACTGTAGTTTAAATCTTTATTCCCAGAGTACTTTAAAGGCTGACCCCAGAGCAGGTGTTACCTCAGCACCTCTCCATGCTGACCTGAAAACCCAACAGCTCTTCCTAGAATATTTAAGAACAGATTCCCTGTGGCACCTGATTTCATTACAGAGTCATAGAAAGAATTAAAAAACCTGTGGAATCACCTCTCTGTCCAAGTATTTACAGACCATCCAGGCAGTCATGACCTCACTCCTAATTCCTAACAACTCCTAACACAAGGCTTGGATGGGGAATAGAACAAGCAATCAAAATTGATCAGTAAATGTAGAACCCGTTATTATTTTGGACTGTGGAGGGTGTGTTAAAGAAATCTGGTTCTGAAGAGACACTTCAGTCATAGCCCTCTGAACTCCATGTGCTTGGATGCAGTTTTTGGCTCGCTTTTAATCTGGGGGTGCTTCTTTTTCAGCTCATTCAATCACAACCCACGAAATGGCTGGGGTTGAAAGGAACCTCAAATCCCACCCAGTGCCACCCCTGCCATGGCAGGGACACCTCCCACTGTCCCAGGGTGCCCCAATGTCCAGCCTGGCCTTGGGCACTGCAGGGATCCAGGGGCAGCCAGGCCCCTGAGCAGAGACAGCCCCAGGGATGGGTTTGTCTTTGCTCGAGGCAGGATTAATCCACACAGCTTCCCACCATCCTGCACCTGTGTGCACCACAGGGCCTCCCCAGAGTTATCCTGATCCCCCAGATCCCAGGGTTTGGCCTTGATGGCAGCTCATGTTTCATGGATCCATGCAAGAGCCTAAATGAGGGATGTGGGGCTCCAGGGGCTCTCCTAATGCAGTTTATTGTACCCAAGGTGTCACAGCAGCCCAGGGCCGTGGGTGACAGAGCTGTGCCCACAGCTGTCAGCTCCAGCTGCAGGCAGCCCTGGACACCCTTAGTTTAGGTTCCAATGCATTATAGACTTTTCTGTGCTGAGCACCTTCATACAGCAGAACCGATCTATACCTTAACTGTTACCTATAGCCCATCATAACTGCTGCAATTACCTTATTCATGTCACTGTTCTCCAGTCACTAACAGTTAGATCAAGCCTCTGCTCTTCCTTGAGGGATGTTTAACTTTCCCAGCCCTGTGTGGTTTCTGTGCTCCCCCCTTGGCCATGTTCCTCCCAGGACAATGGAGTCATTACCTGTCTGGGATGATGGGAGCATCTCTGCAAGTAGAGGACGACCTCAAATGTCCAACACTTCCAGTCTGGGAACGCCTCCCTTTGGCTGAGGGTGTATCCAAGGGCATCTCCCCCAGGCCCTGCACAAAGGCACAGCAGGAACTCATGGACCAGGGGAAGCACAGGGAATCACTGTGGCTGCAGTGCTGCGATTGTCCACACCCAAGAGTCCCCAGGACACCTCCAGCTGCCCCAGGTGCTACACAAGAGCTTTCCCACACACCTTCTCTCGTAGGCTGCCAACAGTTTCCTTAATGTAAGGCAAATCCTTGGGGGGCACAAACTTCTCCAGGATCTTATCCAAGTCAGGATGAGCCATCATGCTGAAGAGCATCCTCCTCCCATAGTACCTGCAGGAGAGCACCAGGACATCCAGAACAGGGACTGGCTTTGTCATTCCAGGTGTGTTATTCCAAAATGGAAATGTGCAGGAAGGTTGTGTCCAGGGAAGGGAATGGAGCCCCAGGAGAGGCTGAGGGAGCTGGGAAGGTGTGCTCACCGTGTCTGCTGGGAGCTGTCCTGCACAAACCTGGCCACGGCGGGCAGCAGCCGCTCAGCCACGGGCCGGCCCGCGGCCAGCAGGCGCTCGGGGCCCAGGCGCTGCACGATGTCCCCCACGTGCTGGGCTGTGCATCTCCTCACGGCCGAGTGCAGGTGGCTGGGGAGGGAGGGAGGGAGGGACACGGCCTGAGGGACAGCCCTGCCGCAGGGCCGCTCACAGCCCCCCGCCCTGCAGCCAGGGCATCCCGAGCAAAGCCCACGGCAACGGCTGCAAGGCACCTCCGGGCCCATCCCCCGCCATGGACAGCGACACCTTCCGATAACCCCCGGGCTCAGGCAGTGGGATTTGGAGTTTCAGTTCCAGTTTTCATTCAGGCAATTTCATTTTACAAAGCATATGACTGTTCTCTCAATGAGCTCTATGACAAACCAGCCCCCGTGCTCAGAGACACACCTGGGCACTTGACTAAAACTGGCTAAAGCAAACTGACTTGATGTTACTTTAAAATTGACCAAAGCAGTGTTCAATCGACTCCTAAAGATCCTGCAGGAGTCTCCTGATCCCTGCTTTGTACAAAATAAACACCTGTGCTGATGTAAAGGAGAGAACAGCCAGAACCAGCTTTCAAACTCGTGCAGCAAATGATCCTTTTATCTAAATCCTGCTGCCCTGCTGGTCCCACTTGTGCTCAGGAACAAAATCCTGCAAACTCCAATATCTCCAATTTTATATTTGGATTAAAAATGCTACTTTGAGGACAACTTGTAACTCCTGCTGCACTTTCAAGGGGAAAACAAGAACTGAGAGGCTGAGACACCTCACTCCATGAAGCAAACAAGCCCCTGCTCATGGAAACAGCTGGGGAACATTTGTGTGCACACAACACCTTAGAGTTAAACACAGTGCATGCAGGTAAGAAAGAGGATTTTAAAATTCCTGACGTAAAACCACTCTCAGCTCTATCCAGGAATCGTGCTCTTGGATCAGGACTCTGCTCACAGAATCCCAGACTGGGCTGGGGAGGAACCTTAAAGCTCATCTTGTTCCAAGCCCTGCCATGGGCTGGGACACCTCCCACTGGAATTATTCTTGTTGGCAAAGTCAAACCCGACTCTGGAGCTGATGAAGAATCAGTATTTCTGTCTAGTCAGGGCTGCCAGCATTAGAGCCATGATCACAGAGGGCTGGAAAGGAGCTGAGCAGAAACCAGGTGCATTTAAGAAGTCCCATGAATTGTAAGTGACACCATAACTGAAGGATTGTGTTGTGGTGAATTTAAGCAACTCAGCCCAACTTAGACAGAACATCCCTTGTGGAACTTCAGTTGTGTCAGACAATCTTTCTCACTTCCTACTGAGACACAGATTTCCCCTTTGAAGGGCAATTCCATATTCCTGTCACAGCCTCTGGAGCTGCAGCTGCCTGTGCTCCAGGAGCTTTCCATGGCCAGAGCTTCCTAAAGCCAGGCCTACAAAAGCTGCACCTTTAGGCCATGCCCTGATGTGTTATCCACTAAAAACATCCTGTACTCCATGAACTGGGAAAGTGTGAGCCGTGAACAGGTTAATCTGTGCCCAAAGGCAGTATTCAGCTCATTCTGATGCCTCAGATAGCAGAAAACCTGTACAAACTGACCAAGTGGAGGGGACAAATCCCTACAGAAAAGCCCTGAGCAGGTGAGTTTGGATCTGAGGGAAGGTGGGGAGGTCTGGCAGAGATAGCCCTGCCCAGGAGGGCCAAGGGGCTGAGGCCAAGAAGGGAGAACCCAACAGGGCACTGCCCCTTGGTGTGAATGAAGCCACGGGCAGTTCCTGCCTGCTGCTCCTGAATTCACACAATCATGGGATCAGCCTGCTTTGGGTCGGGAGGTCACAAATCCATGGAAAAGGACACCTTCCCCTACCCCAGGCTGCTCCCAGCCCTGTCCAGCCTGGCCTTGGACTATTCCAGGGGTGGGACATCCATCCCAAGTCAGTCTGAACCCCAATAATTCATAAAAGAATGGAAATCCCAAGGCTGACTTCTGCCTTTCAGTTTACAGAGCAGGGAAGTGCAGCAGAGCTGTCAGGAGACAGAATCCATGTATCCCCAACCAGCAGCTGCTCAGGAAACAAAAGAGAACATTTGCAACTCTGAGGGTTGGAGCTGTGCAGGAAATCTGTGGAGAGATTTTGAATGGAGCACCTGAAAAGTGTCATGAAGGGAAATGGAGCCTGGAAATGCCACCAAGGGCTGGCAGAGAGGAGAGGAAGCACCAGGGGGTGGCTCAGATGTGGTGAGCAGTGAATGAGGATGGAAAAGGAACACAGACTGATTGATCAGGGCCAGGGAAAGAAGGGAATTAACTCCACAAAAGAATGGCACTGAGAAGGAAATTAAAATGCGGACACAAAGGCTCAGCCTAGAGAGGAGGAATCAAGCAAGATAGATGCTGCTAGAGAAGTGGAAGTTATAAATCAGTTTTCTAAATAAAGAGAGGTGCTGAGAAGTGGCCAAGGCAGGAACTGACTGCAGAGCAAAGGAGGAAAAGAAAGAACATTATGTCAGCTTTACCAGGCAAAGCAAAACAGCAGCTCCCCAAGAATATACAGTAACAGCAAATAAAATCACTGAAGTGGTGCAAAACAGCCAGAAAATACACCAAAGTCAACAGCCAACCCCTTACACAATGCACAGAAAGGAACAGAGGGGCTTTAATTCAATTTATGCCAACAAACATTGCCCTGCGTAGAGGTTTAGCACAGCTGATTTACTGGTTTTCAAATTTCTGTCTACTGTACTGTGACTTGAAGGTAAAAAGCCTACATTTGATAAATTACTCTATTCACAATATTCTTTATAAAGTCTTGATAGGAATTACCTTTGCCCTCCATTTATAAGAGAACAAAGTGCACGTGCTGGAGTCACATTATTAACCATGGCCTTCAGTGCCTTGTCTACCTCTTCCCTTATAAAAGTGTTGGATTCCCCAGCTTTGTGCAAAAGGACTTTTACTGCATTATCTACTTCTTGATCCATGCTCTTTTTCAGGTGGGTGAACAAATCCCCTAAACAGACCACAGCAGCTCGAGAAACACCTGAGCGTAAATTCTTGACCTGCACACAGGAAAAACCCAAAAAACAATGAATAATGTTGATCAGAGAGACTTCAAAATAAATATTCATCTTTGCCCTTTGTCATTTTTAAGTAACATTACAAGCAACTGAGAAACACATTTCTAACGTGATTGACAATGGGTGAGAATTAAAATACACACTCATAAAAATGTTATAAAGTTAAAATCTACATTTTCTCAGCCTCTGAGTCTCAAATCATCCTTGAGACTGCTCAGTTGAGGAAAACTCAGAGGTGAGCATAAATCATTTCAGAGAGCTGTAAAATACATATTTACACACAGAGGGCCAGTGGAATAGTCTGATAGGAAAATTTAACCTCTTGAGCCACAGCCAGAGTTGTTTCATGGAGCTTTGCAGTCAGAATAGGGGCATGGTAGGCAGACAAGCACCTGACAAAGTTCAGACCTTCAATTTTCTTCTCCCTGCGTGAAAAAATAATATTTCAATTCCATCCTTTTGAAAGGTCTCATTAAAATATTCAAGTGTGGAGTTGTAAGGAATCAAATAGCAAACAAATTGGATGGCAAAATAAAGCAATGAGAAATAATCCCAGAGTGGTCTGAGTTCAAAAGGACTTCAAATCCCCCCCAGTGCCAGCCCTGCCATGGCAGGGACACCTCCCACTGTCCCAGGGTGTCCCAATGTCCAGCCTGGCCTTGGGCACTGCCAGGGATCCAGGGGCAGCCACAGCTGCTCTGGGCACCTGTGCCAGGGCTGCCCACCCTGCCAGGCAGGAAATAAAGCAGGAAACTCTCCAAACAAATCCGTCTTTTCCTGTGGGACTGTTCCAGCACAGCACCCACAGCTCTGCTCCCAGCTGGCACCAGTGGCAATTAAAGATCTGTTTCCTTTCCCAAACAGGGGGAGCAGCTCTGTAAGCACATCCCAAGTCAGGAAGCTTTTATTCCCAAGAGATGCTTTTATTCCATACAAAGCACCAAGGATGGGCTGCTGATTTTACACAGAGCCCCAGGGCTGGGCTGCTGATTTTACACAGAGCCCCAGGAAGGTGCTGCTGATTTTACACAGAGCCCCAGGGCTGGGCTGCTGATTTTACACAGAGCCCCAGGAAGGTGCTGCTGATTTTACACAGAGCCCCAGGGCTGGGCTGCTGATTTTACACAGAGCCCCAGGGCTGGGCTGCTGATTTTTCACAGAGCCCCAGGAAGGTGCTGCTGATTTTACACAGAGCCCCAGGGCTGGGCTGCTGATTTTACACAGAGCCCCAGGGCTGGGCTGCTGATTTTACACAGAGCCCCAGGGCTGGGCTGCTGATTTTTCACAGAGCCCCAGGAAGGTGCTGCTGATTTTACACAGAGCCCCAGGAAGGTGCTGCTGATTTTACACAGAGCCCCAGGGCTGGGCTGCTGATTTTTCACAGAGCCCCAGGAAGGTGCTGCTGATTTTACACAGAGCCCCAGGAAGGTGCTGCTGATTTTACACAGAGCCCCAGGAAGGTGCTGCTGGTGCCTCTCCAGACCTTAGACTCTGACTCCCCCAGCCTCTGGAGCCCCAGTTCCCAGCCCTAATTTACAAAGATCCCTTCATCTCAAACTTGACTGAACGCCGCTGTTGGATTTAGTCCTTTTCTGACCCGGAGATGGGGTAACTGAGGGGTGTTTTAAAACCTCCTATTTTTAAAAACTTTTATATTTACCCAGTATGTATTTGTTCACATCCAAACACATACTATGCAAACCTCCTGTCAAACTTTAAAAATTCCCTGCAAATCCATTTCCCACCCTGTTTCTCTCCTCTCCCACTCAGTGCCCTGGCTGTCTCTGCCCTGTGCTGTGTACCACACCTGCCCAGCCCCGTGCCCGCCGTGCCCAGCCCCGTGCCCAGCCCCGAGCCCAGCCCCGTGCCCTCCCTGCCCAGACCCAATCCCTCCCTGCCCAGCCCCGTGCCCTCCCTGCCCAGCCCCGTGCCCAGCCCCGTGCCCAGCCCCATGCCCGTGCCCATCCCCGTGCCCAGCCCCGCACGCACCAGTCGTGGTCAGCCAGCAGTGCCAGCGCCTCTGCCAGGGCGGGCTCGGGCCGGGGGAAGGGCAGCAGCTCGGCCGGGTCCAGCACCTCGGGGCTCCGCGTCACCGGCGGCTCCCGGCAGCGGCCCCGGCCCGGACACGGCTCCTCTGCGACAGGGACACCGTCAGGGACAGGGACACCGTCAGGGGACACAGCATCGTGACAGGGACACAGCGTCAGGGACAGGGACACGCCATGGGACACAGCATCGTGACAGGGACACCGTCAGGGACAGGGACACCGTCAGGGGACACAGCATCGTGACAGGGACACACTGCTAGGGACACGGGACACCAGCAGGGACAGGGACACACCCGTCAGGGACACGGGACATGCCAAGGGACACAGCATCAGGGACAGGGGACACCAGCAGGGACAGGGGACACACCTCTGGCACAGGACACCGCTCTGACATGGGACACACTATCAGTGACACAGGACATGCCATCAGCGACAGGGGATACGCCCTGAGACACACCATCAGTGACACGGGACACAGCTCTGACACAGACACACCATCAGTGACACAGGACACGCCATCAGTGACAGGGGACACGCCATCAGTGACACGGGACACAGCTCTGACACAGACACACCATCAGTGACACGGGACACGCCATCAGTGATAGGGGACACGCCATCAGTGACAGGGGACACGCCATCAGTGATAGGGGACACACCATCAGTGACACGGGACACAGCTCTGACACAGACACGCCATCAGTGACACGGGACACGCCATCAGTGATAGGGGACACACCATCAGTGACACGGGACACAGCTCTGACACAGACACACCATCAGTGACACAGACACACCATCAGTGATAGGGGACACGGCATCAGTGACAGGGGACACACCATCAGTGACATGGGAGACACCACCAGTGACAGGGGACACACCATAAGTGGCTCTGCCAGCTGCAGGCAGGCACAGAACAAACAACACTGATGCACAGAGTGCTGCTGCAGGAAACAGGGTTTGCAAAGGACGCCAGACCCAGAGTGGTTTGGGTTGGGAGGAGCTGAAATCCCACCCGTGGGCAGGGACACCTCCCACCGATGCCTTCAGTTTCAGCTTTTGTGTTTTCCAGACTCTGCACTGCATTGGTTCACAACTCTGCACTCCACACACAGTGCCAGCCGCTCTCCTCACAGCTCAGCCCCACAGAACAATCCTTTCCTCTCCTCAGCCCCACACAACAATCCTTTCCTCCCCTCAGGCACTCTCAATCCTTTTCCAGCCCCAGAACCAAGGGCACTGCTGCAGCTCCAGCCCCAAAAGTGCAAACAGGGGATGGAGGAGAGCAGCCTGGGAGGGTGGGACTGCATCACCTGAGCTGGGATTGGAACCCCAACATGGAAATGGACCAAAGCTGATCAAAGTGTGAGAGCTCCTGACCCTGGGTCCCTCTGGGCTGCAGCCCTGGCTGGGCTCCTGCACTGCCCAAGGTGTGTCCTGTGAGGCCCTTGAATAAATCCCTGCTTTATCCTTTAACTGTGCCCAGCTCTGCTCCAGGGAGCCCCTCAGGTTATCACTGCCCAAGGTGTGTCCTGTGAGGGAATTATTTCCTTTTAACAAATCCCTGCTTTATCCTTTAACTGTGCCCAGCTCTGCTCCAGGGAGCCCCTCAGGTATCACTGCCCAAGGTGTGTCCTGTGAGGGAATTATTTCCTTTTAACAAATCCCTGCTTTATCCTTTAACTGTGCCCAGCTCTGCTCCAGGGAGCTCTCAGCATCACTGCCCAAGGTGTGTCCTGTGAGGGAATTAGTTCCTTTTAACAAATCCCTGCTTTATCCTTGAACTCTGCCCAGCCTCTGCTCTAGGCATCACCACCATGGCAGGCCAAGCCCAGGCCTTGGACACTCCCAGGGATCCAGGGGCAGCCGCAGTCAATCAGAGTTTCATTCATGTAAATTCAATTTTGCACACAACCTTCACTTTTAAGAGTCACCAACACAAAGGTAGTGGCTGTTTAGTGTAAAAACAGATACACAGTGTGCTAATAACTCATAAACCTTGAAGAGACACCAGACAAACCCTGGCACCTTTGAGCACCATCAGTAGGAGGTTCTACTCTTGACATTTTCCTACTGTCTATTTTAAAGGCAATTCAGTGCCAAAATGTACCCAGAAGGGTTTGGGGAGGGAGGAGTCAGTTTGCTGTTAATGCATTGTATCATTTCAGATCCCGATCCAACTAAAAGCCTCTGATGTTTCATGAACTCCCTCACAGATGAAAAATGACCAATGGAATCCCCACTGAGGAATTAAATCCCCTCCAGCCCCACAGCACTGATCTTCCAGAGCACCTCAGGACTGTCCCCCGCACAAATAAATTGTATTTTGAAACTGTCCCACTCCACCTACCCACATATTTTAAGAGTTCCTGCCCCAGCTTACCAGAATCTAGCAAGGATGAACACTTGGACCTCTTCAAACTGGAGGTTCTTTTCAGGGAAGGGTTCAAGGCCACATTTTCTAAGGACAAAGATCCATTTCTTGGTGATGTCAGTAAATCCCCACAGAGACTAAACCCTAGGAAAGAAGAAAATGTCCAAAACACAACAAAACCAATCAGAAGCAAGTTAAAACTGAGCATTACCAGCCCTAATTTCCACTTCAGCAGCATTGAACAGGGAATATTCATTAAAGACAAACCCTCATCCTCACTTTCTGCTGTGAGTTTCTCTGGTTCACTCATACTCAGTCTAATCCTTTCCCAAGGGAATTCTTCCTTCCCTTCCAAGTCTTTGCCTTCCTGCTGCTCTTTATGGTTGTGCTCTTTGTCTTCTTTCCTCCTCCTCCTCAGCTTCTCCTGAGCAGATTTTGACAAGGTCACTTTTATCTGCAAAAAGGAAATCAAGCACAATTTACCCCAGAACTGAACCCCCAGTTCCTGATGCTGGCCAAGGTCAGCATGAGCAATCAGGATCTTCTCTGATCTGACCTTTCTCTCTACTGTGTTTATGACTCTTTTTGTGCCTCAGGAAAACTCAGCAAAAAAATTTAACCCAGTTAAATTTAAGTTCAGTTTTTTAAATTTAATCAATTTACTGATTTGAATCTGACCCTGCCAAGGGTTCACATGTTCAGGGGAAATTAGAAAATTAAGACACTGTAAATCATTTACTTCAAGTTTCAGTATTCTTCAGATGTTACTCTAAGGGCTTGCAGAAAGAGCTCCATTTCAATGTTTTTTTTGCTTTCTATCACAGCTCACTCAGATGAATCTTGCTCCATTTACATTTGTAAATAGTTTTTAACAAACAGCACCACTCTTCAGAGACCAGATTACGGCCAAATATTCAGGAAGGCTTTTAAGAAAATCTGATTGGAGCTGGATTTGTTCATCCTGGGGAAACCACACCTGATCCCAGCCTGCCAATCCCTCCTTCCACGTCTGCTTGTGCTGTGGGAGTCAGGGAGGGCATTTCCAGCCCCACTCCTCCCTGCAGCCCCTCTCCAGGGATGTGAGCACGGTGGGAAGCTCCTGGCACAGCCAGGTGGCTCCAAAACAGACACAGCAGCCCCAAGGCTTTGGCTGCTCCAGTGAAACTCCTGCTGGCCCAGCAGAGTGTGAGTGAGCAGGGCTGGCTTCCCCCCACACCCACCAGGCTGGGCACTTCTTACCTCTCCTTCCTTCCCTGCACGAGAACAGCAACGGGAAGGGCTGTTCTGGAAGCTTCTCCCTGGGGCAGCCTCTGCTCCCTCCCTGGCACCCTGGGCATCCCCACTGGCCACACAGGGCACGGGCTGGCCGGCAGCTGGGCCAGGAGGGCTCCCAAAAACACCTGGAGGGCAGAACAGGGGTCACAGGCTGCTGGGGGATGGAAGGGACATCAAAGCACCTCACTCCAGACTGGAATGTCTATGAGGAGCTGCAACACCTTCAGACATCATTCTTTGTGCTCCCATTGAACTGGGGATTGTGAACGATCTACAACATTGCACAGATCTTTTTGTTCCTCTCCCACCCTACAAAGGCACATCTGCCCTCATTTCATAACTCAGAGAGACACAGGGGATGATTCTGGGTCTGCAGTACCTGTGCCAACCACAGCAACGTCTCCAGATGAGAATCCCAGATCATCCTTTGGTGCAAAACCAGGCACTGACTCTGCAGGGCCTGAAAGCACAAAGAACACTCACTGTCCATCATGCTGGTTCTGCTCTGGGATGTTCCATCCTCCTAAAATGTCACCCCACATCTGGATTGATCCCTTTGCTGAACCAGGGCATTGCCAGGTGCTGAAGCCAGCAGGATCTGTTGAACACCCATGTGAGGGATGCTCACATCGCACTGACAGGAGCCTGGAGCCAGGCTGGGAATGCTCCCCTGGAGAGGAGAAGGCTCCAGGGAGAGCTGGGAATGCTCCCCTGGAGAGGAGAAGGCTCCAGGGAGAGCTGGGAATGCTCCCTGGAGAGGAGAAGGCTCCAGGGAGAGCTGGGAATGTTCCCCTGGAGAGGAGAAGGCTCCAGGGAGAGCTGGGAATGCTCCCTGGAGAGGAGAAGGCTCCAGGGGGAGCTGGGAATGTTCCCTGGAGAGGAGAAGGCTCCAGGGAGAGCTGGGAATGCTCCCTGGAGAGGAGAAGGCTCCAGGGGGAGCTGGGAATGTTCCCTGGAGAGGAGAAGGCTCCAGGGAGAGCTGGGAATGCTCCCTGGAGAGGAGAAGGCTCCAGGGAGAGCTCAGAGCCCCTGGCAGGGCCTGAAGGGGCTCCAGGAGAGCTGGAGAGGGACTGGGGACAAGGGATGGAGGGACAGCCTGTGGACACAGCTCCCTCAGTGCCTTTCCTCCATCCAGCAGAACCAGAACTGATTAAACACAAATAATCCTCATAGTATAGGATAAAAGGTTTCTAAAATCAAGGGGTAATCAGGGGAGGTGGCAAGAAAGGCTGGGCCTGGTTGTTCCTGGGAAAATGTTAGGCTTTACTGGATCATGTGAAATTGCACCTGTGTAATCATTTAATGACTATGATAAATGATATGATTGTTAAATGTGATGATTGTTTGGTAATTGGATATACTTATTGTTTAATTGTAACAAGAATCACGAGAAATGATGTTTGGGGGTTGATGGAAATTACAAAATCCATGCTTGGATGAAATCAATGCATACAATAGAACAATGTAAGTTTAGTAATTAATATGTAGTTATAAACAATAAGTGTATAAAAACGTGCTCATCCTGAGCCCATGTTGGAGTCAGCTTTGGGTCTGCACCCCTGACAGCCAGAGCTCTCCAATAAAAGCAAGAAAAGCACAGAATCATTCTGTGATTGTGTGTTCCTGAACACCAATGATCCCCCAGAGTTCAGGGAGCTGCAGTGAAAGCCTGGGAGGGTGAAGCACACCAGCAGCACCTCGCCTCAATTCCCACAGGAATGAGCTGCACTCCTCACTGAGCCCCCCGAAATCCCAGTTTGGCCCAGAGCAGGTGGAAATTCCCTTGGCTAGAGGGATGTGGGCTCAGTGCCCAGCCCAGGGGCACTGTGCCCCTCAGGTGGGCACTGACAGGAACATACCTGTGCTGGGGGGATGCTCTGCCCCCTCTGGCTCTCTGGGCCTGGCTGGAGATGCTTCTGCAGGATGGGATTTGCTGCCAAGTGCTGGGAAAGTGTCTGACCTGTGCACACAAACACATTTTATAGATGCGATTCTGCACAATGGTCACAGCTCAGCCAGAACCAACAGATTTCAGCTTCTCCATGGCAAAACTATTCCCACTATTGCCAGAAACGTTCACCCTGAGCAGGAACAGAATTCAGTGGGAATTATTTGATGAGCTGGTCCATTATGAAGAATACCCTAAAGAAAACCCTTATGAGGAAACCTTACACCAGGACTACATTTAGGATACACCCAGAAGTACGGAATTGTTCGGCCTGAAGATTGATGATGCTGCTTCCAACCTGGCCAAGGAGAGTGACCAAATCCTCCTGCCACCACAGGGATGAGCTGTTCCCAGCTCAGTGCCAGCAGAGACATTCACCAGGAAAATGCTCTTATCTACTGGAACAATTTTAAATTATTTTAAATTCCAAATGACTCTCTGGAATGAAAGGTGATGGAACCCAGAGCCAGTGCAATACCCGCAACTAAAAACTCTTTGAAGCTCCAAGGTGAGCCCACGCCCCAGGAATGTCCCCAATTCCTGTACCCCATCACCCATGGCAGTTTATCAGCAGACCAACCAAACCCTTCCCAAAGCAAACCCCAAAACCCCCACTGCTGGTGCCCAGCCCAGCCTGTGGGTACAGACAGTGCCAGTCTGTGCCCCTGAGCTGAACTCCCTGGCATTCCTCTGAGCATTGCAAGGCTTTCAGTGTCACCTGGGAGGGCCACTGTCCCTTCCCCCAGCTCAGGGGACTGCCAGGTGTCCCCTGCGCTCCTGCTGCTGCAGAACTGCTCTGCCTGAGGCTGCAGGGAAGCACCAAGCACTGGGCAATGAACATGGCAATGCTTACAGAGCCTGCCTCAGCCCCAACCAGCACAGCCAGGCCTCCCCAGCCCTGACTTCTGAAGGGTTACACATCTCAATGGGGCATTTTAAAGGTCATTTTTACAAATGTGACTCGGCACTAATGCACATGGAGAAGGGATGTGAATATAAATTAGCTCTGGGCTGCACAACTGAAATCCTTCTGTCTGTGAATCACTGCAGGCTCCTTCTGCCTGTTTGCTTTTTATGTTCCCATCTTGCTTTCTGTTGGGAATGCAGTTCAGTGTCAGTGACATGGGAGGTTCCCTGATCATGGCAGGGCTGGAATTAGGGGATTTTTCAAGTCCCTTCCAACCCAAACCACTCTGGGAGTCTATAAAAGATGCTTTCAGTACACACAAAAACATCTTCAGAGCAGAGCTACAAACAGCTTCATCACGGACTCTGAGAGCAGAGAATGAGATTTTTGGACTGGAATATTTGCAAAATTCCTCAAAACTCTTTTAATTCCATTAAACAATAGTTTATACTGCTCATAACCAGCTGGGTTATTCCCTCTACAATCAGAGCAGCATTTGTCACCACCCAATTTCTATTTAGAAGAGCTCTGGGAAGGCGTTTTAAATTCACAATTATCTCTCAGGAATAAATGGAACCAGCTCATGATCCACAATAAGAAACATTTGCATTGTTTTCCTCTTCTCAACAAAGCCAATTCAATTTCCAGGCTATAATAACCCAACCTCACCCTGTTCAGCTCTGGCCATTTCCCTGCAGTGCCAGGGAATGTCTTTCATCAAATATTTACCACCCCTGGCACTGCCCCCTGCCCTGGCCTACTGCAGCTTCATGTTGGAAGCCAGGAAAAAATAGAATTATGTCATAAAGAGAGGAACATAATTCACATAGAAAAATCAGAGAGGAACATAATCCACATAGGAAAATCAGAGAGGAACACAATCCACATAGGAAAATCAGAGAGGAACACAATCCACATAGAAAAACCAGGCTATTAAGCAAGGCAGTGCTATATAGAACATGTAGCAGTTAATACCATGATTTCACCAAGGCCGTGTGGGGTTCCCAGGCTGAGGTGACACCAAGTGACACTCACATCACTCTCCTCCTGGGGGGCAGCGCGGCCACGGGGGAGCCCAGGGACTCCAGGCTGGCAATTCCACTCTCGCCGGTGGAGGTGGCGCCGGGGGAGGAGCCCAGCGAGGGGCAGTCCCCGGGAAATTCCAGTTTCCCCGCCGAGTCGGGGCTCTCCAGCTCGGCCATGCTGCTGCTCAGCTTGGCTCTCTTCTTGGCTGCGCTGCTCCGCAGGGACCGCAGGGAATTCTGCATCTGCACAGGGGGAAATCACAGGGGACACTCACGGCACAGGGATAAAGGGTTTTCAGCTAAATGAAAATGACCTCAGGGAATTCTGCATCTGCACAGGGGGAAAGGGACAGGGGACACTCACTGCACAGGGATAAAGGGTTTTCAGCTAAACGAAAATGACCTCAGGGAATTCTGTACCTGGACAGCAGGGAAAATAACAAGGGGCACTCACTGTAGAGGGAAAATGTTTTTTCAGCTAAATAAAAATGACCGCAGGCAATTCTGCATCTGGACAGGGGGAAATCACAGGGGACACTCACTGCAGAGGGAAAAGGTTTTTTCAGCTGTATAAAGTATTTTTCTGAGGGTTCAGCCCAGTCCATGGGGTGCTCAAGGCCCTGCTGGGCAGTGTGATCAGCACACACACCTTTCTGGGGGATTTTAATGGGTTTTTGGGGGATTATAATGATCCCTCTCCTGGTTTCACACAGAATCACTGGGTTGGAAGAGACCTACAAGACCATTCAGACCAACCCAATCCTAACACCTCAACTGAACCCTGGCACCCAGTGCCACATCCAGGCTGTTTTTAAATACATCCAGAGATGGTTTAAAACCACCTCCCTGGGCAGCTATTCCAGAACTTTATCACTTTTCCCATAAAGAACTTTTTCCTGATATCCAACCTATATTTCCCTTGGTGAAGCTTAAGGCTGTGTCCTCTGGTTCTGTCAGAGCTGCCTGTTTTACTTCACAGGAACAATTATCCTGTGAGCAAACAGCCTCACAGCAGTGCTGTACCCCAGCTCCCCTCTCCAGAGCACAGGGACAGATTCCTGTGCTCTTCAGTGGGATAAGGGAGGGGTTTGAGGGCTGCCAGCACACACCGGGACCTCAGGCTTTATCCAGCAAATCTGCACATGCTAAAAACAGAACCATGGACCAGCTTGGAAAGGACCTTAAGGATCATCCCATTCACCCCTGCCATGGCAGGGACACCTCCCCCTGTCCCAGGGTGCCCCAATGTCCAGCCTGGCCTTGGGCACTGCCAGGGATCCAGGGGCAGCCACAGCTGCTCTGGCAATTCATCCCAGACCCTCCCGGCCAGGAATTCCTTCCCAATCTCCCATCTAAACCTCCTCTATATCATACAATCAGTGCCCAGTGAGCAGAGATCCTATTGAAACAAGCAGGAAAATCTGTAATTATTAGAGTTTAATGCTGCAGCATTCTCCCCTCTGTTTGCTGACTAATTTTCACGTTAGAAATTCCCCCTCTGTTTAACACCTCAGGTTCCTTTCAGTGGGAAGCAGAGGATGGAAGGTACAGACAGGAAAGGAAGGTACAGACAGAAAAGCCAGCAAGTCACAGAACCCCAGAGTGGTTTGGGCTGGAAGGAACCTTGAAGCTCACCCTGTCCCACAGGTGGTGACGGCCTCCACCACCCCAGGCTGCCCCAGGGATGTGGAACACTGCTAAAAACCCACTTATCCCATTTCACCCACCTCCTCCTGGTCCACCTGCTCAGGCTGCAGGTGCAGCTCTGCCAGCCCTGCTGCCAGCTCCGTGCCCTCCCTGCTGCCAGGGCGCTCCCGGGGGCTGGGCAGCCGCGGGATGGGGGGCACGGGCCGGGCACCCCTCAGCGCCTGCCCTCTGCCCAGGGCGCTCCTCAGCTGCAGAGGGGGCTTCTCCAGCGGCAGGGGGGGCTTCTCCAGCTGCAGGGAATGCTTCTCCAGCTGCAGGGAGGGCTTCTCCAGCGGCAGGGAATGCTTCTCCAGCTGCAGGGAATGCTTCTCCAGCTGCAGGGAATGCTTCTCCAGCGGCAGGGAATGCTTCTCCAGCTGCAGGGGGGGCTTCTCCAGCGGCAGGGAATGCTTCTCCAGCTGCAGGGAATGCTTCTCCAGCGGCAGGGAATGCTTCTCCAGCTGCAGGGAATGCTTCTCCAGCGGCAGGGAATGCTTCTCCAGCTGCAGGGGGGGCTTCTCCAGCTGCAGGGAATGCTTCTCCAGCTGCAGGGAATGCTTCTCCAGCTGCAGGGAGGGCTTCTCCAGCGGCAGGGGGGGCTTCTCCAGCTGCAGGGAATGCTTCTCCAGCTGCAGGGAATGCTTCTCCAGCGGCAGGGAATGCTTCTCCAGCTGCAGGGAATGCTTCTCCAGCTGCAGGGAATGCTTCTCTAGCGGGCTGTCCCCTGGAACACACAGGGACAGTCAGGGATGGCGCCAGGACAAACCTCACCTCTCTCTGCTGTGTCTATAAAACTCCTCCTGCCATGGAATGAGTGTTAAATACACACTTGTGCAGGCTCAGGTATCAGTTTATTCCACTTTTAGTGTCTCCTTCCTTTAGGAAAATAGAAATGAGTGTTCCATGCATGTGCACACCAAGGGACACACAAGGATCACCAAAGTCCATGCACATGCCCTTAGTCCCTTTAACATAATTCACATAGAAAAATCAGGCTATTAAGCAAGGCAATCCTATATAAAACATGTAGCAGTGTTTCCCTTTAAAAAGTCATTAACTTTCTTCATTAAGAGAAAAACACTCATCCCTAAACTTCCATGGAAGGTGCTGTAGCAACAAAAGGCTCTTTTTCCAAAGAACCAGAGAAAATCAAAATGCATATGGAAAACTGCATATGGTAAGTGAAAAAATGCATATGGTAAGTGATAAATACAATAACAAATAATAAACACAATAATAAGGCAAGTGATAAATACATCTACAAGGCAGAGTCCCATTCCAGGGGCAGGAAATCCCCAAAGCATTCGGTTGGAAATTTTCTACACAAGCACAGAAATATGGGTCTCAGTGAAGATGAAATTTCAAACAGATTTCTTTAATCAGTGCAACATTTTGTGTGGAAATTGTTTGTTTCAGAAACCTCCAGAGTGATTAGGAAGCAGTTTAAGCTAAACAGACAATAAAGGTATTTTTACCCAGGGGGTTGGAACTGGATGAGATTTAAGGTCTCCTCCAACCCAAACCATTCTGGGATTCCATGACTCAAGTGAAGAGACAAAAAGGCAAAATGCACTGAGTAACCCTTTTGTTGCACATGGATTAATCAGGGTTTGAACAGTCCCAGGTATTTCTGTGCTGGCTTTCCCTAAAGTGCCCCATTTTGGGTTTATTTGAGTTGGAAGACAGCCCTTGCCCTGAGACATTACAAAAAGCAGAGCTGTAGATATTTTGCTTTATGACAAATCCCAATTCTCTTTTGAAGAGAAGCCTGCAGGGATGTGAGCAGTGAAGCCATCAGTAAATAAGTAAATAAATCAATAAATATAAATCCCTCCCATTCCTAACTGCCCCTGAGGCACTGCCCAATTCCCTCTCACTGCCACTGTGGGTTTCCTGACCACTGAAAAATCCCCCAAAATACAAACCCCAAACCCCTTTTTATCACTGAGACCATTCCCACCTGTGTTGTCTCCTGGCTTTCGGCTGAGCAGCTGCTTCTGGCCACCAGGCTTGGGCAGCCCCTGGAAGCTTTTGAGAGGCCAGGAGCTGGAGAGGCTCCTGGGATCCTCCTGGCACCTCCCTGCCAGGGCAGCAGGGGCAGAGAGGTGCTTGGGGCTGTTCCTGGGCGATGCCAGGGGGAAGGAGGGCAGGATGAAGGTGCCCTGGCTGGCACTGGGACCCTGGAAGGACATGGTGGGCTCTGCCTGAGTGCAAAAACTTCTCTGGGTCTTGCTGGAAAAACTGAGGCTGGAACAAACTGAGCAAAAGAAAAGAGAACAGTGCTTGTGGTGACTGGGTCTTGTAGTAAGAATTTATTATTAAAAAATACACCATAAGAATGATTTCCAGTGAAATAATGCACCATAAAATGATTTCCAATGAAATCATCTATCATAAGAATAATTTCCCATGAAATAATGCACCACTAGGCAGCCAGAGCCTGAAGCTTTGGCCCAAACAAGCAGACAAATCAACCAATTTCATTTTGCAAATTGCATTCCCCTCCAAAGGTGAGTTTAAGCCTTAAAATGATTTCTCAGGCAGGTTTTGTAGAACTGTTATTTAAAAACCAGAGCGATGCAAGCAGATCAAACACTGCTGTGACCCTCCCTTTTCTCTAACACCCTGACACAGTCAGAGACCAAAGGGGGGCTGTGAATTAACAACCACTCATTAACTGACACAGGAAGGAGGAGCCACCTGGACAGGGCCTGAACAACCTTCCAGTAGCAGTTCCCATCTCTTGGGGAAGCACAGGGACAAAGGGACAACTCCAAAATGACATGCCTGGCAGAAGCCACCTACCTCTGTCCTGCTGACAGTTATTGAGTCCCAGAAACTGCAAACCAGAGCCCACACTGCCACTCCTCCCACGGGAGTATCCAAGGGTCCCACACTGCCCTGAAACCTGGGGCTGATGAGAGCCCAGAGCACCTTCCAAGAGAGAACACAAAACCCAAATCAGTGTTCACACGTGCTGTCCAACAGAGAATATCCAATAATACTCCAAGAATATCCAATAATATCTCACAGGGAATGCAGACTCTGTGTAGCTCTGAGTGGGAAACTCACACTCCAAGCACTTCATTCCAGAGTCTCTAAGCAACCTCCAAAGGCAGCTCAGAGGGAAAAGGGAAAAGGGAAAAGGGCTGGCTGCTCTTCCAGGGCTCTGCTCCAGCTGGGAGCTGCAGGGGGGCAAAGGAACCCCTGAACAATCCCCTCTTTGAGCGGGTGACAATGAAGGGCAGCAAACACCCAAACTTGGCAAGGCCAGCACTCCCAGAGGGGACAAGGACAGGGCCCAGGGCCATGGGGACACAATCCCTCAGGTCTGGTCTTGCCCAGGCTTTCCAGATCCTTCTGGCCACTGAAATGTGCAAGGCAACAAGAGGCCAGGCCCTTGGAATCACTCAGAGAGAAGCAAGTCCTGGCTGCAAAGGCCCCATGTCCTCTGTGATCCCAGTGATCCTCTCTAGGTCACGGAGCAATCTCCAGGAATCAGAGGTCTTCTTGTGAATGACAAAAACTGGGCAATTCTAGGGACTCCTCGTAGGTTTGATGTGGCCTTTTTGTAGTTGTTCACTTACTCAATTTTGTAATTGTTCACTTTCTAATTTTTGTAGTTGTTCACTTACTAATTTTTGTAGTTGTGCACTTTCTGATTTTTGTAATTGTTCACTTTCTAATTTTTGTAGTTGTGCACTTTCTAATTTTTGTAATTGTTCACTTTCTAATTTTTGTAGTTGTTCACTTTCTAATTTTTGTAGTTGCGCACTTACTAATTTTTGTAGTTGTTCACTTTCTAATTTTTGTAATTGTTCACTTTTTAATTTTTGTAGTTGTTCACTTTCTAATTTTTACAGTTGTTCGCTTTCTAATTTTTGTAGTTGTGCACTTTCTAATTTTTGTAGTTGTTCACTTACCAATTTTTGTAATTGTTCACTTTCTAATTTTTGTAATTGTTCACTTTCTAATTTTTGTAGTTGTTCACTTACCAATTTTTGTAATTGGTAATTGTAATTGGTAATTGTAATTGGTAATTGTTCACTTACCAATTTGTAATTGGTAATTGTAATTGGTAATTGTAATTTTGTAATTGTTCACTTTCTAATTTTTGTAATTGTTCACTTACTAATTTTTGTAGTTGTTCACTTTCTAATTTTTTGAGAGCGTTCAATTTTTTCTGTTCAAGAGGCCATTGATCTATCCAAATGGGTTTTCTAAGATAACTTCAGAGTGGCAGGAGTTGTAGTTTCCACCAAAAATCCACCTCTACCTTCCCTCCCCACTGGGACAACGCATCTCTCCCCATACTGTGATGGGCTTTTTCTCTACGAATTCATTTCCCAATGAAATCTGTCCTGCCCGGCAGCTGCAGCCCGTCCCTGTGCCCCCACTCACCAGCAGCAAGCGCAGGGTGCTCGGGGGCCAGCTCCACCCCGGGCTGGAGGCAGGTCCTGGAGGTTCTGCTCCTGCTGAGGAGCAGCTCAGCACCGCCTGGGGTCCCCTGCGAGGGCTGGGCCTTCGCGGGCTGCACGAGATCACTGGCTGCAGCCAACTGCAGGGAAAGCAAAGAAACCGGGTGGGAAGGGAAAGCACAGCCCTGCTCTGGGCAAACAGCACAGCTACAAACATCCCCACACGAGCTTCGCTTTCCCACCTACCCAATATTCAAATATTTTAAGCATTAGAAAGTGTTTTAGCTGTTTTGCAGGTCTTACTAAAATACAGGTTAAAGCTACTCACACTGGAAGGGGAATAAAAACCCAACAAAATAAATGGTAAAGAACTGAACTATTTTAAAAATTAAATTTTAAAAATTAAACATTGACCTTTTGAATGATGTGCTTTAGGTGGGGAAGTGTTTAAATAGCCAAGAGAACCCCAAAATCCCAGAACTGAACATGGATCCCATCCCATCCCATGGATCCCATCCCACACACTCCAGACTCTTGCCAAACATACAATCCAGTCTAAAACTGTGCCTGCCAACACCAGCAGCTGTTACTGAGGATGGGCTACAGGTAGGGGGAAAATCTCAATAATGCCAATATTTAACAAAGAAAAGGTCATGCTTTAAATAGATTGTGATTTAATTAGTAAAATCAGTGATTTAGGTCATTCCCAGGCTGCTCTTCCTTGTGAGAGATACAGGAGGACAAGAAGCAGGAAAATGCTGAAGTGGTTTATTCCAGGTTATTGGAAAACAAGTTGGGATAAAAGATGTGAGACCTTGGCATTCCCACTCCTGCAATCACCAAACACCATCCCACCCACAGATCCTTCAGCCCATAATGAAATATTCCTTGTACAAACCACCACAGCCTGGTTTCAGCTGGGAGAGAGGGAATTTCCTGCTCAGGAGCTGGTACAGGATAAACTTCCATCCCGTTCTCCCATACAGATAAAGCAACATATGCAGAAGGAGTAAATTCCAACACTGCCATGACTGCACAGCTTCTCTCAGCTGCTCCCATCCCCGCTCCAGGAGTGAAAACTCTGCTTGTCCTTGTACCCAAATTAGAATTACAGGATTGCAAATTCACTGAACAGCCTTGGAGGTGGGAAATACAGCAATCCCAAAGCCGACAGATGTTTCCCTGGGATAACAAATCCTAGAAAAGGGATTTCTCAAACGAGTTCAGATTCCTTTAAATTTCACAAATGCTGGAAAACACCTGAATCCATCCACCACAGGAATTGGTAACTTGGTTATCAAAGCACAGCTCTTGAGAGTGACCCATGATGGAATCCTGGAATGGTTTGGGTGGAAAGGGACCTTAAATCCCATCCCATCCCATGGATCCCATCCCATCCCATGGATCCCATCCCATCCCATCCCATGGATCCCATCCCATCCCACGGATCCCATCCCATCCCACGGATCCCATCCCATCCCATCCCATCCCATCCCACGGATCCCATCCCATCCCACGGATCCCATCCCATCCCATCCCATGGATCCCATCCCATCCCACGGATCCCATCCCATCCCACGGATCCCATCCCATCCCATCCCATGGATCCCATCCCATCCCATGGATCCCATCCCATCCCATGGATCCCATCCCATCCCATCCCATGGATCCCATCCCATCCCACGGATCCCATCCCATCCCATCCCATCCCATCCCACGGATCCCATCCCATCCCACGGATCCCATCCCATCCCATCCCATGGATCCCATCCCATCCCACGGATCCCATCCCATCCCATGGATCCCATCCCATCCCACGGATCCCATCCCATCCCACGGATCCCATCCCATCCCATCCCACGGATCCCATCCCATCCCACGGATCCCATCCCATCCCATCCCATGGATCCCATCCCATCCCATGGATCCCATCCCATCCCATCCCATCCCATCCCATCCCACGGATCCCATCCCATCCCACGGATCCCATCCCATCTCATCCCACGGATCCCATCCCATCCCACGGATCCCATCCCATCCCATCCCTTCCCATCCCATGGATCCCATCCCATCCCATCCCATCCCACGGATCCCATCCCATCCCATGGATCCCATCCCATCCCATGGATCCCATCCCATCCCATCCCACGGATCCCATCCCATGGATCCCATCCCATCCCATCCCATGGATCCCATCCCATCCCATCCCACGGATCCCATCCCATGGATCCCATCCCATCCCATCCCATGGATCCCATCCCATCCCACGGATCCCATCCCATCCCACGGATCCCATCCCATCCCATCCCACGGATCCCATCCCATCCCATGGATCCCATCCCATCCCACGGATCCCATCCCATCCCATCCCACGGATCCCATCCCATCCCATGGATCCCATCCCATCCCATCCTACGGATCCCATCCCATCCCATGGATCCCATCCCATGGATCCCATCCCATCCCATCCCACGGATCCCATCCCATCCCATGGATCCCATCCCATCCCATCCCATCCCACGGATCCCATCCCATCCCATGGATCCCATCCCATCCCATCCCACACCTTCCACTGCCCCAGGCTGCTCCAAGCCCAGTGTCCAAGCTGGAATCACAGCAAACATTCCCTCCCTGCATCCCCTCCCCGTGGAGCTGTGCCACTGGGAGACACCAAAGGTGCTCCTAATCCAACACCAGCAGCATCACAATGTTCTCCCACAAAGAGACCAGCACCACACAAAGACAGAACAAGACCTCCCCAAAATCCTCTCCAGCTCCAGAAACAGCAGGGCTCAGATCCCAGAGGGACACCCAAGGCAGGGACACCTTCATCCCACACACTGCTCACCCTCTGTGTCCCTCTGACCCTTGGAAAACAGAGGTTTTGTTCCATAAATAGAATTTCCCAGGTCATTTGAACTCCCCACAAAGCCCAGCTATCAGTTTCTCCAGTTATCAGATCAATACGGAAATGAGAAAATTTCCACACAGAGTGAGGGGAGATCCCACAGTTCACACGGGCTTTGTGGAAGGCCTTAAATGTCCAGTGAAATGTTCAAATGCTCCCGTTTCCCCCAAAAGGACACTCTGGGCACCCAAGGTACCTTCAGCAGCAGGGAAGGGCCTGCAGGGTCTGTGTGTGCCAGGGGAAACTCTCACCTGCAATATTCCATATTCCCACCTGCCCCTGAACCCCTGAGCAGCTCCAGGGATGGGGAGCCCACAGCTCTGCAGAGGCTGCCACACAAACCCAGGAGTCCACGTGCCTTATCTGCCTTTTATTTTCAGTACACATTAACTTACACGTGTTTTACTCACACCTTATCTGATAAGGAAAGTCTAGACACAGCCTTGGACAACCACCTGTAACATGACCCTAAAAACACTGGCAGGGAAACAGCTTTAAACATTAAGCTACTTCCATGCATCCCTTCAGCCACAGAATGACTCCAAAAGTTAATTTTTAAGCAAATTCATTTCAAAGGAATGTCTGAATTAATAATTAATATTTGACATGTCCAGAAAGCAGCTGACTGCCTGAGATTTCTGCATGATAAATGCATTTTCCTTACTGAGGGAGCTAAGGGCAGATGCAGGGCAGACTCCCCACACAGATGCAGATTCCTGGATGGCCCAGGGACAGGAGATGGACACCCAGCTCCTGGAATGTCCTCGGCCCAGGGAACACAGCCAGGTTTGCATTCCCAGACTGAAAACACAATCCACCTTCCTGCAGCCAACACACATCCATGGAATGTCCTGAGCTGGGACCCACAGGACCATCCCAGCCCCATCCCTGCCCAGACCCCAACAACCCCACCCTGGGCATCCCTGGCAGCGCTGCCCAAACACCCCTGCAGCTCTGGCAGCCTCAGGCTGTGCCCATTCCCTGGGCAGTGCCAGCACCCTCTGGGCAAGAACCTTTCCCTGAGATCCATCCCAAACCTCCCCTGGCCCAGCCCAGCTGCTCCCTTGGGTCACCAGCACCGCTGGACAGTGTCCCTGCCCCAGAGAGCTTCAGTCAGACGTGATGACACAAAGGATCAGGATGTGAAGAAGGAGCAGCAAAGGTGTCAACTACAGCAGTCGGGTAAACACTGCACTATTAAAGCACCCTGGTGTTTTAAGTTTCCTTTACAGGAACTGGGGTCTGGCCAGCAGGACCCAAATTCATCCTGTGCCCACTCATGTTCCCAGAGGGCAGGGATGGGTGGGAGATTGGGAATTGGGAATTCCTGGCTGGGCTGGAATTGCCAGAGCAGCTGTGGCTGCCCCTGGATCCCTGGCAGTGCCCAAGGCCAGGCTGGACATTGGGGCACCCTGGGACAGTGGGAGGTGTTCCTGCCAGGCAGGGGTGGCACTGGGGGGGATTTGAGGTCCCTTCCCACCCAAACCATTCCAGGAACTGGTGATTTTCCCCATCTCCAAAGGCACTTTACACACCAACCACACACAACCCATAAGCTCCTGGCTTTCTCCCTCTGCAGGGCTGGAAACTCCTCCCACGTTAGAGATAAACACAACCACATGTACAAAGGGCTCGTTCCTCTCAGAAAAGGACCATTCCCAGAGCCCCTCCCTGACTGCCTTGCAGAGGGGCTGTCCAGGCAGGGAATGTTTCTCCTTTCCAAGCCCCAGCCAGGCGTTGGTGCCTGTATTAACTTGCTTTTTGTTCACAGCTGCAGAAAACCAGCAGGGCTTGGCCCAACCTCCCAGGAGAACACTGGCACTGGCTTTTATTGGTTTTTTTTTACAAGCTGTATTAGTTAATACTGAAAAACTGTTGCAGAAAGGAAACCCTTCTTGCTGCAGAGGTGTTTCCTACACATCTTGTTGTCCCAACCCTGCTTGCAGCTACCCCAAGGGAACTGATTCAGCAGCTCAGGAAGACACAGATGCCTTTAGGAGCCTCAGGAGAGGTAACACAGGCACCAAGGGAAGAGAGGAGCATTCAAGCCCAGGCATGAACCTCAAGGTCTGACAGCACAGAAACACGACCTGGGTTTATTTGGTTAAGGGCCTGCCCCACAGCCAGGCTGCAGAGGAGCACCCACTGTCCGTGACCTCATCCAGCCCAGCAACAAGTTACCAAGCAACTGAGAATGAAAATCTGAGTGCGTAAATGTGGCACCGAGCACTCTGCTCTGCACAGCCTCTCATTGCCTCAGGAGCTCTGTTTGCTTCAGCTCCCCCACAGGACATTGAGTTCTGATCAATCAAACGTGTCCACTTAAAAAAAACCCCAAAACACAATGGAAAAACCACCACACAGAGATACACCCCCATGTGTGGGATCCAAACCACGTCACAGAACCACTGGCAAAGGAGAAAGAACCTGGACAATTTTCCAGAGGTTCCTCCCCTTTCCAGCTGCCGACGTGGTCAGGAGGTGATTACACCAAAGCCAGCCAGAATCCTTATTCCAGCCTGACCTACATTTTTCCTGCTTGGATCAGCCCAAGGAGCAAGAGCCACACAGGCACTTGGCAGCCACCGGGTTTATCCCAAAGAGCCCTGGCTCAGCCCCATCCCACAGCCCTGCCTTCAGAGCCTGAGCTGAAGGAGGTGCTCTGTTTTCCCCCAAACAGGAAACCCTCTGCAGTCAGTCCCACACCTTCAAACACAAACATACAAATAAAGGCTGTTTTCCCCAGTTTTGTGCTCATTCCCAGCAGTTCGCCTGTCATTGTTGACATGTCAGTCACGTCATTACTGTCAGACGTAAGGAGTGTCTCATGTCTCAAAAAAAGATTAATCTATTTCTTTGTAAGTAGTCCGGTAAATTGCTCGGTTGAATCTGACATAAGGAATTCCCAAATTTACCTTCCCCGAGCGATCTGAGTGTAGAGATCCATGAAACAGCAGCCGTACCTCCCAAACACCTCTCACTTAACAAGCCCCTGACAACTCTTCATCCTCCCTTAAGCACAAAGGCCCCCGGGGAATTCCATACCTGCTCCACGCCCTTCGCGACGGGCATCCTCACCCCCGAGCCACCTTCCCCGTCCGCAGCCGGCTCGCTCTCCCAGGGCAGCTTGTTTTTGCCTCTGCCGGCGCTCAGGACCCTCCTGGGGCTCGTTCCTCGCCGGGCACAGGCGGGGCCGTGCAGGGCACCGCGGCAGGCGGGGTGCCCGCATGGCCCGTGCGCGCTGCGGCTCCGGCTGCCCATCAGCAGCCACTCGGTGTCGGGGCCGGGCGGCGGGCAGGGCCCGCGGCAGCGGCCGGAGCAGGGCAGGGGCACTCCGTACTCCACGAGTCCCTGCTGGCCCAGCCGGGGCAGCGCGTTCCGGGCCAGCCGGGCCCGCACGGCCAGCGCCGCCCCCGCGCCGCCGGCCCGCAGCTCCACGGCGTCCAGGGCGCGGAGCAGCGCGCCCGCGTTGCCGGGGCCCAGCGCCGAGGCCAGCGCGGCCATCGCCTCCATGGCGGCGTGCCGGACCCTGCGCTTGGCGTCCAGCAGCGCCGGCGCCAGCGCGGCCGCCAGCTGGGGCAGGTCCAGCTCGGCGGCGGGGAAGGCGAGCAGCGCGGCGATGCACGTGTGGAGCAGCTCCTCGCGGAGCCGGGCGCTGCGGTGCCGCAGCAGCCGCTCCTGCAGCAGCAGGCGCAGCACGGGCCGCGGCCCGGCCGCCGCCATCAGGCGCAGCAGCAGCCGGGCGCCGTCCCGCCGCATGGCCGGCTGCGCGTCCCCCAGCGCCCGGGCGGCCGCGCACACCAGCGGGGCCAGCACGGCGGGGACGCGGCGGCCGAGGCGCAGCGCCAGCAGCCGGGTCACCTCCAGCGCGCCCCGCGCCACCGCGAAGTTGGGGTCGTGCAGCAGCGCGTCCAGCAGCGCGATCAGCCCCAGCAGCGCGGCGGCGGGAGCGGCGCCCAGCGCGGCCGGGTTGCAGCCCTCCACCGCCCGCCGCAGCTGCTCCACGGCCTGCGCACGGCCCCGGTAGTCCCGCCGGTCCAGCAGCCGCGCGCGAAGCTCCGGCGGCACCAGCGGCAGCTCCGGCCCCAGCGGGGCGGCCGCGTCCTCGGTGCCCGGCCCGTCCTCAGCGGGGCTGGGGGGCTCCGTGCCCGAACCGTTGTGAGCGTGGCCGGGGGGCTCCGTGCCCGGTCCGTCCTCAGCGGGACCGGGGGGCTCCGCGTCCGAACCGTCCTGAATGGGGCCGGGGGCATCGGTGCCCGGACCGTTCAAAGCAGGGCCAGGGGGATCCGCGTCCGAACCGTTGTGAGCGGGGCCGGAGAGCTCCGTGCCTGGACCGTTGTGAGCGGGGCCCGGGGGCTCCGTGCCATCCTCACGGTGCTGTGCGGAGCCGCCGCGCTCCCAGGCCCGGCCGCGGCCCCGCGGAGCGGCGGCTCCTGGCGGCGGCTCCGCCATGGCCCGAGGCCGCGGCCATGGGCGGCCCTCAGGCCCCGCCCGGCAACGCCGCCGTCGCCAGGGGGCGCCGCGTGCCGCGCCGGCGCGGGGCCGACCACGCCGCGGCGAGCGGGGGGGACACGCGTACCTCCGCGACTTCTCCTCAGGCCGCTGCGGACGGGACGGGGCGCGAACGCGGTGGCGAAGAAACCGAGAGCAGCGTCGCTCGAGCGGCGGGGATAGGGTGAAGCAAAACCGGCGGGGAAGCGAAAGCGCGGGGGGCCCCCCGCGCGGTGCGCGCTGTGGTAGCGCCCGGGGGCCGGCGGGTGTGGGTGTGTGCGGCGGCGCGGCCGTTGATTGGCGGGGCGCGCGGGGCGGGGCGGCCGGAAGTGACGGACGGGCGGTGGCGGAGTGGCGGAACGAGGCGGCGGCGGCGCGGCCGGGCCGGGCCTGGGGCACCCCGGCACAGGTGGGAGCGGGGCCGGCGCTGCACGGCCGGGACACGGCCGGGACACTGCCGCGGGGTGGCCGTGAGGGGAGCCGTGCTTTCTCGGGCGGGGTGCGAGCGCGGCGGGAGCGGCTGCGCGGGCGGCCCGCCCGACACGGGGAGAGTGGCGGAGCCGCAAGGACCGGGAGCGCTGTGGGCTGGGAGGGACCGTGGGCAGGGACACCGGGAGCCCGGCGTGCTCCGGGACCTGGCCGAGAACGGAACCGGGACGCCGAAGGGACTCTGGTCAGGGACACCGGGAGCCCAGCTTGCTCCGAGCCCCGGCCGAGAGCGGCGCCGGGGTGAGCCCCGCACCGGGCAGAGCAGCAGTTCCAGAAGCAGGGAGTCTCTGCTGTGTTTGTCTCTCTTCCCCCGGGTGTTAGGGCCGCGCTCAGCCCGGCTCAGGCTCTCTGACCGTCGCAGATCCAGCCCAGCCCCGTCCCTGGCGGTCCCCAACCCGCGCTCGGGACACGGCAGAGCCCGCAGCTCCTGTGCTGCTCCCCAGCACACCCACAGCCCCGGCTCAGGTGTTCCCTGGGCTCCCCTCTTTGTGTCCAGCCCCTGCTGAGGTTGAGATAAGCTTTAGCCACGGGCTGGGAGGATCTGAGAGCCCGGAGCCGTTTGGTGTCCTGAGCACGGGTCGCTGGGCTGGGATGCAATTCCAGCGCTGCTTCATGTTCCAGCTGCTGATTTCTTGCTAAAAAGTAAAATAAATAACAGCAAATCCATGGTATGGGTGATCCTGGCCATGCAGAGGGGTGAAAGGTTCTACCAGAGTGGTACAGGAAGTTTTATTGGTGCAGAATACCTTAAATGTGGTTATTCACAGGTGTTCCGGCAGGTTTTGCATCTGAGCTGGGACCACTCCTTTTTCCATGTGGTGGTGCCTTAGGTTTCCTGATTTCTGTGTGTGTTTGTATGATCAAACCAGGAACTGAACACAAACACAAAAGGGAAGTACATTCTTTTAGCTGCTGGATGGCTTTTTTATGATTTTAAATTTTTAAATTTTTCCATGGATAATTTGTGCTGCAAAATTGTGGTAGGGAAAACGTTGTCTTTTGCAGATGCACTTAAATGAGTTTTTTTCAGTTATTTTTTCCAGTGAAGAGTGATAATAGGAGAGCTTATTTATCTCTTGGTGGGTAAGAGCTTTTCCAGCCCCTTCCCTGTCACTGCTATTGTATTCTGCATTTAAACGTTGGCAACCCATTTGATTATTTCCAATTAAGCACTTTTAAGTGGGCTCACCTGCAAGTGAGGTGTCATTTAAGGAGCTGTGCAGATGATGAACTTATTATGAAGATAAAAGAAGCAAGATCTTGCAGGGATCATTTAGCAAATCAAAAGCTGCTCTGCTCAGGAGCGGGGGGTTGTTCCCTGCAGAACAATGGCATTGTGTCCCAGGATCCTGACACATCCCTACCCTCCGCCTCTCAGCAGAGCAGGGCTGGGGGCTGAACAAAGAGCTGCTGCACCCTGGCAGTGCTCAGGGAGCTGGAATTAGAGCAGGTGCCTCCAATTAGGGCAGGAACCCGGGGGCTCCGGTGTCACGATGTGCACGGGACGTGGGGGAGAGCAGCTGTGTGGGGGAGTGAGGATTCTGCTCTCCTGCAGCTCCTGGGCAGCGTGGGCAGCTGCCAGGGCTGGGGAGTGCTGAGAGTCCCAGGTGCTGAGCCTGTCCCTGCTCACCTGGGCAGTGCTGAGAGTTCCAGGTGCTGAGCCTGTCCCTGCTCACCTGGGCAGTGCTGAGAGTTCCAGGTGCTGAGCCTGTCCCTGCTCACCTGGGAATTGCTGAGAGTTCCAGGTGCTCAGCCTGTCCCTGCTCACCTGGGCAGTGCTGAGAGTTCCAGGTGCTGAGCCTGTCCCTGCTCACCTGGGCAGTGCTGAGAGTTCCAGGTGCTGAGCCTGTCCCTGCTCACCTGGGAATTGCTGAGAGTTCCAGGTGCTCAGCCTGTCCCTGCTCACCTGGGCAGTGCTGAGAGTTCCAGGTGCTGAGCCTGTCCCTGCTCACCTGGGCAGTGCTGAGAGTTCCAGGTGCTGAGCCTGTCCCTGCTCACCTGGGCAGTGCTGAGAGTTCCAGGTGCTGAGCCTGTCCCTGCTCACCTGGGCAGTGCTGAGAGTTCCAGGTGCTGAGCCTGTCCCTGCTCACCTGGGCAGTGCTGAGAGTTCCAGGTGCTCAGCCTGTCCCTGCTCACCTGGGGAGTGCTGAGAGTTCCAGGTGCTGAGCCTGTCCCTGCTCACCTGGGAATTGCTGAGAGTTCCAGGTGCTGAGCCTGTCCTTGCTCACCTGGGCAGTGCTGAGAGTTCCAGGTGCTGGGCCTGTCCCTGCTCACCTGGGCAGTGCTGAGAGTTCCAGGTGCTGAGCCTGTCCCTGCTCACCTGGGCAGTGCTGAGAGTTCCAGGTGCTGGGCCTGTCCCTGCTCACCTGGGCAGTGCTGAGAGTTCCAGGTGCTCAGCCTGTCCCTGCTCACCTGGGCAGTGCTGAGAGTTCCAGGTGCTGAGCCTGTCCCTGCTCACCTGGGCAGTGCTGAGAGTTCCAGGTGCTCAGCCTGTCCCTGCTCACCTGGGCAGTGCTGAGAGTTCCAGGTGCTGAGCCTGTCCCTGCTCACCTGGGCAGTGCTGAGAGTTCCAGGTGCTCAGCCTGTCCCTGCTCACCTGGGCAGTGCTGAGAGTTCCAGGTGCTGAGCCTGTCCCTGCTCACCTGGGCAGCTCTGAGCCCTCCAGAGGCTGAGCCCATCCCAGCAGGGATTTCCTGGCACGGTGGGAGCCACAGGGCGAGGTGAGGTGGGGATCTCCCCTTTCTCCTGTGCTCCTCTGTGCATCCACAGCACAGGAATCTGCTCCAGCCCCTCTGCCTCAGTGGGGGTGGCTGGCAGGGGAATGGGAATGGCAATGGGAGCTGCTCCCTGCCAGAGACAGGCACAGCAGGACTGGGCTGCTCCCCAGGAGCACTGAGCAGGCAGGGAGCTGAACAAAAGGAGTTTAGTGCAGGAACTGAACTGCACAAAAGGAGTTTAAGAACTTCTAAAACTTCATCTCAAATAAGCCAGTTGTTTTCCTTAGTTATCTGTGTTTGTTTCTGTTTCAGCCACTGTTCAGTTCTCTCAAACCCTTGATGTAGAGTCACAGAGTACCCTGAGTGGGAAGGGATCCACGGGGATCTTCAGGCCAGCTCCGGGCCCTGCACAATCAAATCATATTTTACTCCAGAACAAAACAAAGTGATGGTTGTGGGTTTTTTTAATTGAGTGTTGAATCTAGCATAGACTATTAATGAACATTTGAAGTCCTGGATTTAACTTGCACGAAAAAGTGCAGCAGGTAAGGGTTGAAAGGGGAACTGGGGACCTTATTAGACAGCAAAACACCTTTTACCTGTCGTGCGTGCCAAAGCATGAGGTGACAGCTCTGTGTTTGTCCCAGATGGACGGGTCGTCCCCGCCGTTCCTGCTGGCCAAGCTGACCCCGCTGCACTCGGAGCAGCTGCTGCAGGGCCTGAACCTGCTGCGGCAGCACCAGGAGCTCTGTGACGTGGTGCTGCGCGCCGGCGAGGCCAAGATCCACGCGCACAAGGCCGTGCTGGCCAGCATCAGCCCCTACTTCAAGGCCATGTTCACCGGGAACCTGTCGGAGAAGGAGAACGCCGAGGTGGAGTTCCAGTGCGTGGACGAGGCGGCGCTGCAGGCCATCGTGGAGTACGCCTACACCGGCACCGTCTTCATCTCGCAGGACACCGTGGAGTCGCTGCTGCCCGCCGCCAACCTGCTGCAGGTCTGTTGTGCTGCCGTGGAACAGCCTGTCTCGGCATGCCAGGTCCTTCCCCGGCTGTGCCAACGACCCCTCCCTTCCCCTCCCTGGCCCCCTTGCTGAGAGCTGTCCGTCAGTCTTGGCATCCCAGCCAGGGCACCGAGTGATTGGCTGTGACGGGGTCTCAGGGGTCTGAGGATGAGGGAAGAGACGAGGATCTGACTCCATGTTTCAGAAGGCTGATTTATTTTTTTATGATATATATTACTTTAAAACTATACTAAAAGTAATAGAAGAAAAGGTTTCATCTCAGAAGGCTAGCTAAGCTAAGAACAGCAAGGAAAGAATGATGACAAAGGCATCTGCCTTAGACTCTCTGTCCGAGCCAGCTGACTGTGATTGGCCATTAGTTAGAAACAACCCCATGAGACCAATCCCAGATGCACCTGTTGCCTTCCAGAGCAGCAGATAACCATTGTTTGCATTTTGTTCCTGAAGCCTCTCAGCTTCTCAGGAGGAAAAATCCTAAGAAAGGATTTTTAATGAAAAGATGTCTGCGACAATTGGCAGAGTTCAAAAGATTCCTCTCAGCCCTGGGGACATTGGGCCATCCAGGTGTCATTTGTCCCCTGAGACTTTCCCCCCCTTACCTGGTTGGTGGGATCCCTACCCCTGCCCTGCCCCTCTCCCTGGGGTTAAAACACACAGCAGCCATGCAGTTCGGTTGTTCTGTTGGAGCTGGTGCTGCATTCAGAGGCCTGTGTGCCAGGAATAAAGCTCTGGA